ATATGGGCTCCAGAAATGCCCCGAACATGGAAATGTAAGGAAGACCGACATTCCAGCAGTGATAAACTAGCCTTTCCTTCAACCGATCTTGCCACTTGCAGTTCAAGACGTGTTTAATACTATAGGTGATAATAAAGATCTAGTTTTCTGCAATTCGAGAAAATAAGCAGCACTGTTTAGTTATACACTGTAGTTATTAAAATCAGCGACATTTTATAAAAGAATGGAATTCATATTGGTATATATCTCCGAGCTAAGTTTAAGAGGTTCCTTCAGGATTCGGATTAGGTGAAGTATTATTGAATGCCTGAAGTACTCTGTCTAGCTTAAATTGAGACCACATCTGTCTTTTATTTGCTATTTCCTAAGTCGGTGCGAATAGTGTTGCCGGTGATGATATTGATGTTTCTACTGCTAACAAAAACTTCCATTTCTCTTTTCCGTTGTAAATTTGAATTCCTTGACTATGTATCAAAAAATCAATCTGTTTATTCTTATTTATATTTTTTTCCATGTTGCATGGTATGCTTGATCTTTCTCAAGAAGCAGAAATCCCAGCTTCATTATTCACCTGCATTGATCCACTTCTGTGGTACAACTAAATAAACTTTATTCTCGACTTTGTCAACTTTAAAGTTACTTGCTGATCGTGGCCATGCTGTCTACTATGTTCAAAATTGCGTTGGGCTTGGGGTGAAGTGTAATAGCGAATGAGGGGTAACGATTTTTTGAATTTTGTTTCTGTTTATTCTAATGATGAGAAATACCAAATGTTTATATGAGATTTGTCTTTCTTATTTTGTTTATTCGAGTTTCTGGAATACTGTTTGTGCTAATTTAATTACTAAGCAATTTAATGGCTAGTAAGCATAATCCTCGTCCTCAATCCATAACTAGTTAATTTTCATAAGCAATTGTGCTTGTAACTTTTCTACTTACCGACCACGAACTTGATGTTAAGTACCTTTGTTCGTGGTCGTTTCCTCAATGAGTTGTTCAGTTATTCACATTTATCATGCCGAAGAGCCGTGTTTGAGTTGGGGTTAAACTAATATCCGGTTAGTTTTTTCGACTAGATTGTTTTTCCGCCGTACAGAATTTGTAAAAGAATTAGTACGTCCCAAAAGGTTTACTTGAGGAATAAAAGTGGTTTCGTGACTGTAGAATGGGGTTTTAGATAAATATGGATATGCAGTGTTACAATCCTAAGTTGTGCTTGTAAGCCTAAAGATTCAGCGAGCTTAGTTTGAACCGTTAGTTTGTGGAATTAAAGTGTATTTGAGTGATGCGGTGAGTAAATCCGATTCGACCTTGTATAGCAAGCGTTTTTCAACGGAAAGGTTATTGCAATTTTCGATTGCCATTGAGGTCTTTTGTTGCAGCCGGTTCTTTTTCAGCCAGTGATTATGATAGCTTTACATTAATATAATATGGCGATTAGCGATTTTTTGTGGACCCGAAGGTATTAGCAACGATATTCACTACAAAAAATTTCCTTTATATAACACTGATGATCTTCGGAATAGTACATCGCATGGAAAGGAAATGAACTTTTGGTTCATTTGTATGTCGGTCTCTTTTAGACTTTAAAACCTATGCTGTTTGTAGCATTATTCTTTCCTGGGATTTGTCTCCGTTATTTTGCAGTTAACCAGAAATGTTTTATTTTCAAAGGCTATATCGACAGCTAGGAGGTCACTGTAACGCGTTATCCTCTGCTTTCTTCCCATATGATTGTGCCAATGACGGTATTGTCGCACGTTAAGTTTTGTAAAATCATTTCTGTACATTCTGATGATAGAAATGTAGTAAACATAATTCTGGCCCATATTGTCAGTCGGTCAGATTTACTTCTGAAATGTCTCCTAAAGCACAGGATTGGTTGTTAAACAGAGCTTCCAACGTTCCCGATCCTGTGCCAGAGTCTGAGCTTCGGCAAAAGACAACTGGAGTCTCGATCACAGTCCTTCCATATATTTGCAGTAGATTAATTTTGGCCGGACTACTGCGGGTCGGATGGGCAAGAAATAATTGCTTCGCCTTCCTTTCTGGAGACTTGTCGATTTTGACAAAAAAACCAAATAAACGTATTTAAATGGAAACGACCGGAAGGCTCAGAAGTTGCTCTGAGTT